AATTCTCCCTTCAACCCTGTAAGGATCAATGTCCTCATTTATGCACTTGTGTCTTCATTGTACTAATCAAATCTCTTAGGGTTGTGGTACAGTTCACATTGATGTAAATGAACAAGGGGGTTTATTGGCTCAGGTAACTGAAAAACAGTCAATGGATTTTGACTTCAGGCATAGCTGGATCCAAGGACTCCAAGGATGTCATCAGGATTCTATCTCTTGCCACTTTTCAGCTCTGCTTGTGTTAGCTTCATTTTCAGGCATACCGTCACCAAGTGGTGGCAAAGATAGTACCCAGTAGCTCCAAACTGGTATACCTAGTGAAATGAGAGCATTCTTCTCCCAGTTGTTCCAGCCAAAACCCAAGAGATGGTTCTGTTAAGCCCCATCGGGTCACATGCTCATCCCTGATCCAATCAATCACTGAGCTAGGGAGAAGGAATGTGCAGTTGGCTGTGTCTGGGTCACATATCCATCCTAGGAACGAGAGAGTGAAGTCAGCCCTATTCAGACCTTGTGGACCGAGAGTGGGGAGGGTTGGTTCTTCAAAAGAAAACTTGAGATGGTTTTACCAGAAGTTGAGGGTAGGGAGGTTGGGAGGGTAGAAATGACAGCTGGCTAAAACTGAGCTGTGGGAGACAGTGCATTTCAGGAGACCCAAAGTGAAAGCGTGCTGAGATATTAAATGGGAGAAGGAGGGAGGGAGGGACTGCAGATGTGCTGTAGGAACGCTTAAGACTTTTAGCTACTAGGCTTGGGGATCTCTCTGATCCACTATCAAAAAAGACCTTTTGTGAACCAGCTCAATAGGAGACAGGAAATACCAAAGGATTTCAGGCAACAGGCTAGAGTTAGAACTGCATTCCAGAAAAGTCTTTTGGGGGGGCAGTGAGAAAGATGGACAGTCAGGGGGCTGGGCAGTGAGGTTCAGAGAAGAAGGTGGAGTTTGGAACATCCAGAAAGGCATTTCCTCAGGAGTTGGGGCTGTCAGAGTAGGGGCAGGGGGTCCAAGGGGACTGTGGGAAGTTCAGTGTGGCTCCAGCAGGCTCAGATGGCACGATGTTATCCGGATCTGCAGGGCTGGGTGAGCAACCTTAAACCACCCCCACCCCTCTTTTTAAGCTACACTGATGAGCTAGAATTTCTCCTTTACTCAGAAGAGTGGGATGGCTTTTGTTTTGAGAAACACTGCCATCTTGTGGTGTCTTTTTGCAATGTCAACCTGTAGTCCTATTTCTTCTGTTGCTTAGGCAAGATTTGCTCTGCTCATTTGTTATTCACTGAGTCCCTGTGTGCCAGGAACCGTGCTTGGCGTGGGATTCAGCAGGGAACAAGGACCTGGCTTCCGGTGGAGCTGACGTTCTACTGGAGGAGGCTGATGAAATACAAATAATCACATGAGTGTACTAAGGTCATGACCCTAGGCCTAGAGGAAGTGTGATGACATTGCCCTGGGAGTGTCATGTGTGCATGCTCCTTGGTGACTTTACAGATGCCAGCAACAGGGAAAGAATATTTGTAAGGTGGCGTCTGCCTAATTTTCTGCAAAATCTCTCACCTGCTTGGCAGGCCCGGCGGGGCAGGGCAGGGGATCATGGTGGGACTTTGGTGCTTTCCCTGGAACCTGGGTCCAGCTGCCAAGCCAGTGCCTGAATGTGATCTGCAGTCTCCCTGCCAGGTTGTCCAGCCATCCTGCGAGCACTTCCAGTGACACGGGGCTCATTTCTTCTAGCAGCTCCTTCTACTGTAGATGATCCTCTCTTGTCTGGACAACTGCATTAGTGCTTTTGCTGGTCCCCCTGTTTCTGTTCTCACCCCTCTCCAGCAGCCAGAGACATCCTGTTCAAACCTGAAATGGGATCACGTCGTCTCTCCTCTGCTCAGAAACTGGCAATGGCTCTTCATGTTTAGAATAAAATCCAAATTCCTTCCAGTAGTCATCAGAGCTCTGGAAGCTATCACTGCTCCTCTCTCTCTGACACCACCTCCTACCACGTTCCTTCTGCATGTTCTGCTCTTGCCACACTGTATTTCTCACTGTCCCTTCGGCATCTAACCTTGACCCTGACTCAGGGCCTTTGCACTGACGGTTCCCTCTGCCTGGAACACTTTCCTCCCAGATGCTTACCCAGCCTGCTCCCTCACCTCCTCAGATGTCCTTTGTCATGGGGGCCATCTGTGGCTCCTCCATCTAAAAGTGTCTAATCACCCCACCACTGCTCCTCTTATTCTGCTTTGTTGTCAGAGCATCAATCACTGCAATGAAATAATACACTGTTTATTGTCTGTTTCCCCCACAGAGCGTCAGCTGTTCGAGGGCAGGGCTTTTTCTGCTTTGCTCCTCTGTGTAGCGCACAGTAGGCCCTAAACAGTTGTTGAATAAATGCATCAAGACCCCCCCTGTTGTATTGAGCATTTACAATCTGCTCAGCGCTTCTCATTTGTCATCGCACCAATCCTGTGAGATTGCAGTTTGAATCCAAGTTTGTCTGACACCAACACCTTGCCTCGACTCTGATATTCCACACCCTTAAGCCCCACTTGCCTCCCCTGTGAGATGGATTTGACAATAGTGCAAATACATTTGGGGCCAGGGTCCTGGCAAACGACAGATGATATGCCCAGAACAGTTGAATGGAAGAGAATTTGATGAGGGCTCTATTCACAAAGGTGAGGGCCAGGGTGCGGGAGGAAATGGTCTCCTGGAGCCTGGTGAGAGCAGGAGCCATGGCTGAAGCTCCCCCACCCAGGAGCAAGGCTGAGGCGGGGGTGGGGGGCTGCTGGGGGTACACAATAAACACCTCCCTGCTGGTGCGCCCCCTCCCCCATTGCCTGAACTCAACTGGCAACCACAGGGCCAGGGAGCCTCTGTGATGCACAGGTTTCCTGAGGGCACAGGACAGAGAAGGATCCAGGAGAGCACAATGTCCCAAGATTGTCGTGAGGATCACGTGAGGTCAGTATGTGACTTGCTTGGTCCAGCACCAGTGACATAGTGATGTCATTATTATGCGGGTGACGAAAGTAATCAATGATTGCGAGGTTGTCATACTTTATCCCCCGCTTCCTCCCGCCTTCCTTCCTTCCTTCTTCTGAGCATTTCAACTCTGCTAAGAGTTGAGATCTATGCAAGGAACATGTGGCTTCCTGAGGTGTCAGAAGCAACGCTGTCTGTGTTTGTAACACAATAACCTCATTCCATCAGTTCAAGGATGCACACTTTTTTTCTTCTTCACATTTTCTGTTGCTGAACTGGGGCATGTCTCATAGCTGACGAGTGCTTTTCAGGAGGACAGACTTCCTCTTTCTTGTTCACCACTGTGTTTCTAGCACCCAGGACAGTGCCTGGCTCACAGCTCCCTTGGTAAATAATTTGTGGAGCGAGTGAATGAATTCAGATGCTGGCACATCTGTAGAAATTCTCTTCCTGGTGAAGTCCTCAGCTCCTGCGTTTTGGCTTGATGGCCTTCTCTGTCTGGCTTGGTCCAGTCCTGATCTGGGACTATGGACTTGGATGAAGATGCTGATGGTCCCGGGGGCTCCATCATCAGAAAATACCTCCCCACTAGGCCCCCAGCTGTGGTAGGCACGTGAGCATCTCAAGGACATTGACACCCAGCGCCTTCCTTCTAGTGTGATGAGCTATTTCAGACATACTCCAATGTGAGAATAATATAATAGACCCTCATGAAAAGCTAAGAAGCAAACCTTGATGAACGTCCCTGGTACTTCTGTGTTTCCCTCCCTCACCCCAGTAGTCCTCCTTCCTTCTCTCAGAGGTAACTACTCTGCTGAATTTGGTATTTACAATTCCCATGCATAGGTATGCATGTGTTTACATACATAAATATATACAGTTGATGTGCATATATATATATACATATATATATAGAGAGAGACCGTTCTCATGATTCACAGTAGTTATGTTCCATGAAATCACAGCAAACACTGAATTAATGAATACCAAACCATTGCTCCTAGGGGAAATAAGTACACACAGATCTCACATACACTATAATCTTAAATCCTAAAACAACCCATTTTGGTAGATTCTATTTTCTTTGTTTTACAAAAGTGAAAAGCAAAGTTCAGATGTGCGAAGTGGCTGGCCCAAAGCCGCCACACTACCAGGGGCCAGAGTTGAGATTCAGACCTTGAACTTGAACTTGGCTGCGGAGCTGAAGCTCCTGGTGCCTCACATCGCGGCCTGCAGCCTCCGTCCAAGGGGGCAGGTTGGGCCTGTTCGACCTCAGCTGAAAACGTGCACTTAGGGTGACTTAAAATTTTTGCTGCTCTGTACATGTCTGTGAATAACTGCCAAAGCACCTCAAGTATTGATTTTGGGGGTTACAAATAAGTTTTTAGCAAAAGGTGAATGGGCAAATGCAGAATCTGTGAATAATGAGGATCGGCCATTTATATTCTCCTATCTATGAGACCTGTATGAATTCTTTTTTTTTTTAAGGTTTTATTTATTTAATTGATAGAGACACATCGAAAGAGGGGACACAAGCAGGGGGAGTGGGAGAGGAAGAAGCGGCTTTCCACCGAGCAGGGAGCCCGATGCGGGGCTCGATCCCAGGACCCTGGGATCATGACCTGAGCCGAAGGCAGACGCTTAACCATCTGAGCCACCCAGGTGCCCCGAATACTGTTCTTATTCCTGTTTGACAAAGGAAGAAACTGAGGCACGGAGAGGTGAAATCGGGTGCTGTTAAGAGCTTAGGAAATGTTTTTTGGAGGGAGTGATGGAAACAACCCAAATGATTCCCAGCAGAATCATGGGTAAATAAAACATGGAATTTGAAGTTTACTTAGATGTGTAAACAGTTGTCATAGAGCAAGGACTCTTGTCAAGCAAGGCATGGACTCAGGTTTGCAAGAGTTCTAGCGCTCATGTGGTATTTCGGGGGGTCTGGCTTGTGAGGAAGGCCTGGCAGCTGGCCCGCCAAATTCCATGGAAGTGACCTTGGAGACACCCACCCCCCCGCCTTCCCTTCCAGGGGTCTCTTGTGTTGTGGCAGAGTGGAATGGCTGGAGTTGCTCTGTCAAGCCCTGCCAGATCTCCTATCGCATCCGCCTGAGGCATGTCCTGCAGGAGCCAAGGAACAGGGGTGCTCCCTCCCCCCGCTGGAAGAGCGGGCTGGCTGTGTGGGTTACCGCGGCCACCAGAGAGTGGAGTGCCAACAGTCTTTAAGTGAGTTGGAGTGGCCCCTAGGGGTGGGGCAGCTGTCCATGGGAACTCCCTGGCTGGACTTGAGAGCCTTCCACGAGTATGAGGTCCGAGTTTAGGGTAGGATTTTATCTTCCTTTACCTTGATTTGCCCTCCTCACCTTATGAATGAGGTAAGAAACTCTGACTTCCTGTGGGCATCTCCTATCTTTTTTCTACTCATCTTCTAGTGTGAATCAGTCAGGACTTGGTTTGTATGCAGGTGGTAGGAAACCCATGTTAAACTGACCTGAGCAAGACTGTGTGGTTCATGTAAATACAATTCTAGGGGCTGCATTCAGGCATGGCTGGATCCAGGGACTCAAGCAATGGTCCCAGGAATCTCTCTCCATCTCTCAGCTCTGTTTTCCTCTACCTGGACTCATTCTCAGTCAGCCTTTCCCCCTGTAATGGTCTTTGATAGCATCTGTCTTGCCTCCAACTAGCCCAGCAGCCGAAAAAAAAAAAAAAAGGTACTTTCCCATAGTTTTAGCCAATATTCTAGGATGAAGTCTCATTGACTTGACCTGGGTCATGTATCCACTGCTAAACCAATCAGTAAGGCTAGAGCGATGGATTATTCTGATTGGCCAACCCAAGATGTGTGCTCCCTTTGCAGCTGGGGGTGTGGTCAACCCCACCTGAATGGGGATAGGGAGAGGTGTTTTCCAAAGGATAACTGGGGAGAATGGATGCAAGGCAGGCAGAACTGTAGATGTGGGCTACATCGTACACCCAACGGAGGGCTTTTATAGAACACTACAGAAATAGATGATGCCCATTATACAAAAGAAATCGACTAAGACATTGGAAGTTGTTTTTCTGACGTGGTAGAAGAGCAGGCAACAGGGCTAAATGGTCCCCTTCCAATGTCTTCCCAAACTACAGCCTGGTAGGAGGGGAGGTCGTTCTACAACAAGTCTTACCATGGTGTCACCCTCCTGCTTTCAATTTCCAGTAGCTACCCAGTGCCCTCAGGGCGAAACGCAAGCTCCTCATCAGGTCTCTAAGCTCAGTGCTCTGGCTTTTGTCTCCTGCGGCCTCATCTCCTTCCTCCCTCTGCCTAAGTTTTAAAGGATCGTTCTGACTGCTGTGGGGGCAGCTGACTGAAAAGGGTCAGAGGGCAGCAGGGAGCCCAGGGATGACGTGGCTGCAGGGGTGCCGGCGAGGGAGGATGGTGGCTAGACTAGGGTGATGGAAGAGGGAATGGTGGAAATCCTTCTCCCTTTCCCTTGCCACCCACATCTGACCTTGCCTGGCTCATTTCCTGCGTAGATGTCAGTTTTCCGGGAAGACCTTTCTGACTGCCCCTACTAGGTGCCAGGCACTTTGCCACATCGCTTGGCTCTGTGAGGCCAGTGTTACTATTCTCATTTTACAGAAGGGGAAACCAAGCCTCAGGGAGGCACAAAACTTGCCCAAGAGGCATGTCTCATTGTAAATCACCTTATTTAGCTCTCACCATAACTCTACGAATATGTACTAATATTATCCCCATTTTGCTGTTGAGGAGGCTGAGGCTCAGAAAGGTGTAGTGACTTGACCAGGATCACTCAGCTGTAAGAAGGAGAGCTGGAACCTGGGCTTCTCTGGACTCTCCTCACTGTAGGCTGCACCAAAAGAAGCACTATGCATGCTGGAAGAGAGGAGGGAAGGGAAATTGTGTATTAAGTGTGTTATGGCAAAGACCAAACCCAGTCTCTCTGGCAGCAGCAGGGAGAGGGGCCTGGGATCCCTGCTGTGGCCCTTGTCTAGGTCACAAGCATTAATTCAATACCGAATCTTTGATTCAGCTCCATCACTCAGGGAATGGGGAGAAGTAGGGATGTCCTTTGGCTTCTTTATTTTCCTGAGGAATCTCTACCCCCTTTGGACTGACTCCTTATTCTCCTCCTCTTTGTTCTCTGTCTGTTCCAGGAAGGAAGAGACTTGGAAGTGGGCCCAACAAAATACTTTTATTAATTCATTCATCCATACATCTGTCCACCTTTTGGTCCATCTATTTCTTATATCGGTTCATCTATCCATCCACCTGTCATCTCTCCATCCCTCCTTCTTTCCATTCATCAGCTCTTCTACCAATCATCTCTCTCTCTCTGCTTTTTGCCATCCTCCCATTTCCCCATCTACTTATCCATCTTTCTTTCTTTCTTTCATCCATTCACTCAGCTATGAACTTTTATCTACCTTTTTTACTCACTTATTCGTGCATGAAAATCATTCATTTGAGGGGCATCTGGATGGCTCAGTCGGTTGAGCATTTGACTTTTGATTTCAGTTCAGGTCATGATCTCTGGTCATAAGATCGAGCCCCAAGTTGGGTTCTGCACTCAGCAGGAAGTCTGCTTGAGGATTCTGTCCCTCTCCCTCTGTCCCTCCCCTGCCCACGCGCACGTGCTCTTTCTCCCTCTCAAATAAATAAATAATAAATAAACAAATAAATAAAATCTTTAAAAAATTAAATCATTCACTTGAAAAACTTTCATTGAGACCCACTATGCAACCCACTGTGCTAGGCCCTGAGTGGCAGAGATGGATCTGACCCTGCCTCCAGCATCACATAAAGGGTTCTCTTGGGGACCACCTACCCGGGTGCAAGATCCCACAGTCTCCTTTGGGCTGCCATGTAAAGAGCTCGAACATCAGCAGGACCTAACCCTGTTTCTTGTGTTGCCATAGTCTGGGGGGATGCTGGCCACCTAATTTTGTTTTCTCCTTGGTCCACAGCCCCTGCTCTGATAACCACAGGCAGCTACGGGAAGGAGCGGAAAAAGCGAGGTGTCCCCAAGGAGCAGGAGACAGTAGGGTAAGTTAATGCAAATGAACCCAAAGTCAAGCTGAATTTGTGAACGTTTTCCCTTGGATTAAACTGCCATCCTTTCTCTCTCTCTCTTGCTTTAATAGCATCAGTATCTCCCCATTTCTTGTCCTGTTACCTTTGTAAGCTCATAAACAGGGATTTCGAAGTCCTTAATAACTGGTCTCCATTCAACTTCATTCATTCATCCATTCATTCATTCACTCATTCCTTCACTCAATGTTTACTGGATGCCCATTATATGACAGGTACTGGGCTAGGCCTTGGGGGCCACAGCAAAGAACAAGAAAAGATAGAAATACTTGTAGGCTGTTCATAGGGTGAGGGCGAGAATTCTCCAAATAAACCACCAAAAGGTGGAGCGAGAGTGTCCTGGGAAGACAAGCGTTCCAATTTCCACGGGCTTCTGGTGAGGGACAGATCCCCCAGAGGTTCTGGGGCAGCTCCGAGAGGAAGGGGCTGAGCGCAGCTCTGGAAGGGGCTGAGCGCAGCTCTGGCTTGTCTTGGCGAACCGTCTACTCCTCAGGCCTCCCAGAGGCTGCAGCCACCAGGGGGCAGCAGCCCCACACCGAGTCGCCCCGGAGTCCTTGACCGGCGGCGGCAGGATGGGGGCGGGGGTGGCGTTGACTGCTCATTGCAGAAGGAGTTGGGTAGAAGTAAGATTGTAACTGGCTCTTATTTCAGAGCCTCCGGAACGTGGAGCTGCCCTTTTAAGTACTTCTCACGACACATCTTTTCTATAAAATCGGATCTGTTCTAAAATGCCGCGGCGCGCTTCGGAGTGTCACTTTGGGCTTTTTTGGGTTTGGGTGGTTCCATTTTAGGCACCACCACTTAGTAGCTGTGTGACTCTAGGCAACTTCTCTCTCTGATGCTTAGTTTCCTAATCTGTAAAGTGGGGCAACACCTACCTCTCCGGGGTTCTGTATTAAATGGTTCATTCAGCGCATTTTTATGGGGCGGGATGCTATTCTAGGAGCTGGACACAACCGTGACCAGAACAAACAGGAGTTCCTGTCCTTCTGGGGCTGGCATGAGACTGGGACCCAGACAGAGAAATAAACCACACAGCCTTTTGGACGGGACGCTTAGACGGGGCCTGACGCATGGAAGTCCTCATGATGTTAAAGAGTTGAGCCGAGTCTCTTGTCGTGTGTGACCTGTTGGTGAAGAGTGGGCTGCCAAAAGGTTCCTATTCTCCGGCAGAAATTGTACCAAGCTGGGCCTACAGAAGGCTAGGTACCCAGTAGGTGCTCCGTAAGTGCTCACAGGTGCTTGGAGTGGCGTCTCCCTGTGTGGCTGCAGGTACTGGGGCCCGTTCCACAGAGCTGGCGGCACATGAGGGCGCCCCACGCCCAGTGGACGAGGTATCCGACCCAGGGCCACACGGTTTGTGTGAAGTGTGAGTGGCCTGCCCCGGACCCCAGGAACCAGCGCTGCTGTGGGGCTGGAGGGTAAGCAGTAGAACTCGGGCCTGGGGAACTGTGACTGTAGAGCCTGGGGCTTCTCTGTTGCCCGAGAGACGAAGATGCTGTAGGAGTGAGACGTTGATTCCTGGCTGGGGTGGGGCCCGCTCTGAACTCCAATTTCTTCAACTGAAAATGCAGCTAATAAGAGGGCCTAAGGGGGAAGGTTAAGCAAAATTGTGCAAATTGAAGAGATCTCATAGTCGTTGGCACCCAGAAAGCACTCATGGAAAAGGGAGCTGGTATTATTACTGAATCCTGCCAAGTCCCTTAAAAGCCTGCTTCGGTAAACCTCACTTTATAGGTGGGAAAACCAAGGCTCAGAGAGGCAGTGTGACTTAGTCAAGATCACACAGCAGGATTTGACCCAGATTTGGCTTATATCAGCTTCTTAGACTGCCTCTCAAGGGCAGGTGTCTCAGAAAATACTTAATATACTAATTATCATAGTAGCTAACATTTATTGAGTGCTTACTATGTGTTAAGCATTATTCTAAGCTCCTTTTTTAAATTTTTAAAAAGATTTTATTTATTTATTTGACAGGGAGAGACAGCCAGAGAGAGAACACAAGCAGGGTAAGTGGGAGAGGGAGAAGCAGGCTTCCCGCTGAGCAAGGAGCCCGATGCCGGGCTCGATCCCAGGACCCTGGGATCATGACCTGAGCTGAAGGCAGACGCTTAACTGACTGATTCACCCAGGTGCGCCCTAAGCTCCTTTTAAAAAATTCCTTCATTCGAGGGGCGCCTGGGTGGCTCAGTCGTTAAGCCTGAGGGGGGTGCCCTCATGAGCCTTCAGCTCAGGTCATGATCCCAGGGTCCTGGGATCGAGCCCCACATCGGGCTCCCTGCTCAGCGGGAAGCCTGCTTCTCTCTCTCCCACTTACCCTGCTTGTGTTCTCTCTGTGGCTGTCTCTCCCTGTCAAATAAATAAATAAAATCTTTAAAAAAAAATTCATTCATTCGATAAATATTTGTTGAGCACTTACTATTGAGCACGTGCCAGGCAATGTTTTGGGCGCTGGGGAGACACAACGAACAAAGCAGATGTGGTCCCTGCTCTTATGGAAACAACATTCTGCTGTGTGGAGACAGACATTAGGCAAGTAAATCTGTAATTTGTCAGATGCAAGATAAGTGTTAGGGAAGAAAGCAAAATCTGGGGGGGTGAGTTTTGTTATTTTTCAAGGAAAGTGGCACTAAGGAGGTGACATTGGAACAGGAATTTGAAGGAAATGAGGGAGGTGGCCATATGGATAACTGGGGGAAGAACATTCCAGGCAGAAGGAACAGCAAGTGCAAATGCCCTGAGGTGAGAGTGTGCCACCATTTTGACCGGAGTGAAAAAGGGGGAGTGTGGAAAGAAGTGGAGTGGCATCATTAACACACATGATGCCATTGAAACATTCCGAGAACTCATCGGGGACACTTTGAGGATCCTCTTTCCAGGTGGGGAGGTGGAGATGCAAAGAGGTGCCCAGGGTCACACACCCAGCAAGTGGCAGAAACAGGATTTGAACCTGCATTGATCAGATCCCCGAGCCAAGCTCTAGAGACTAGACTGTTTCCCACTGACAGTGCTTTCCTAGGGCAGGGGTTATTATCCGAGAGCTCTCTTCTGGGGTCTGTCCAGGGATTTATTCTCACATTTGCAAGGTTATTAATTTCCTTCCTTTTAAAAGTGAGCAGCCCTGCTCACTGCAAACCTAGAGCAGGGAATGCCAATGCCAGATGGAGTGCTTGGGACAGATGTATCTGAACAAGAGGCATTGGGCCTGCACAGATCTGGGTTCAAAGCCCACCTTTGGCCCTTTCTAGCTGTGTGGCTCTGGGCGAGCCTCTCAGACTGTTGGAAGGATCTGGAGCCCTTTGCACAGCACCTGGCCCCTCGTGGATGCTTAGTAGTGGAAGCTGCTATCGTTACATCTAACCTATAACATGGGTATAATAATAAGTACTTCGTGAAAATGAGGTGTAATGGATGTGAGGACCCTGGCACGGAGTAGATATGCAATAAATAGATGGCAGTCAATATTATTACACTCTAGGGAGGCCCTCTCTGCACACCCCCTCCAGCTTCTCTCCCACTTACCTGTCTCAGACCCCAAATTTTCCCATTACAGATTTGTTCTTCGGCTTAGATGCTCACCAGTTAGAGCCTCAGCTTATGTCCATCCATTTTTGGATAAGCCTTTCTAGCCCTAAAACTGATGAATCTCCGATTTCTCTTTTGGATGCAAATAGTCCAGAATAAGGAGCAGGGCACTTTGGTGAGGCTGACATGGGGGTCACGGGAACCCCTGCCCCAGGGATGGTCGGCCTGGAAGGCAGAGCCACGGCTGTGCCAGAGAGAGGCATCTCTTCCCGCCCCCACCCCGCCTGGGGCCAGGCTCACAGAACAGGTGATGGAAGGTCTGCCTGGGGCATGAGCTCACCAGGCAGGACTGGGCAGGAGGGGGATCAAAGCGAGGATGGAGACAAGCTGTCAGCCGGATTCTTTCCGTGGGCGGCTGGGGAGGGCGGGCATGCAAAGGGCACGGGCCTGGGGAGGGATTAGCCTTTCAGTTGGGGATTTCAGGAGGGTTTATTTAGCCTGAGAAGTGTCTGTGAGTTTGGGACAAGCACAAGGGACACCTGCTATAGTCATGCATCTACTGTGTGCTGGTGCCAAGCAGGTGCTTTATATGTGAGAACTCATTCAGACCTCATAAGCCCTTTTGAGACAAGGGGCATTCACGCCATTTTATGTAATGAGGATGACAAAAATAATGGTAACTTTAAATACTATCATTTGTGAAGTGCCGAGCACTGTGCTTAGACGGGTAGAACAGTGCCTGGCCTGTAATAGGCACTCAATCAGTGTTTGCTATTATTGTTAGTTATTATGTTGCATTTTTTATTATGTTGCATTTTTTTAAAGATTTGAATTATATCTACAGAGAATTGGCTAAAACATCTATGAACAGGTTAACAAATGTTTGGAGAAGAGACACCCCGAGATAGTCACCACCCAGGCAAGGAACAGGACCTGGGAAGCATCCCCTCCCCCCGGGGCCCCCACACCCTTCCTAACTGCAACGCTTCCCTTCCCCATAAACGAAGCCACCATCCTGACTTTTATGGTAATCCATTCTCGAGTTGTCTTTATAGCTTTACTCACCTCAGAGCCGATCTCTAAACACTAGTTAAATTTTGTTTTGTTTTGTTTTGTTTTCAAACTTTACATAAATGAAATGATGCAGGATGTGCCTTTCGGCATCCAGCTTCTTTTGCTCCATGAGCAAAGGAATGTTCCTTGTAGCATTCGATCGTTTGTTCCTGTTGCCGAAATGGTTCGCTGTTACGTCCTGATCGTTTTCATTTTCTCGGCACAGAGCAGCTCATAGAGCCCTCCGAATACTTCAGAGAAGTGAAGAACATGGATATCTCTGTTTTCCACTGAAGAAATGGAGGCTCCTAGGAGCTGGGTCACGTACATCCTTGATTCTAGAGTCTGTGTTCTTAATCAGGTCCACTGTGTTGCCTTCCAGCAGGAGGAGAAGGGGGGACGCAGGGAATAAGCAAATTGCCCAGTTTGCCCAGCAAGGATGTGACAGTGTCACCTCACCAGATATTAAGAGCTGGGTCTGGATTGCCCTCTGTGGCCTCTGGGGTCCGGCTCCACAGCCAGCTCAGGGCCAACTTCTCTACCAGGCTGCAGTGCCCACACACTTTTAGGGGCCATGAAAATGATTTAATTTTAACTTCTTTTAAAATCAGAAGAAAAAAGATTGGTAACCATAATAATGATAATGAAGATCTAATTATAAATCCAGCTTGGATTATATTCGTCTTTGTACAATACAGCCATAAACTGTGAATTTAAAACCTTCTTTTGCAAGGTGGAAGGGGCGCACAGAGGCAAACATCCCGGGAGCCCAGGAGAGTCCTAATGCCCCTGAGCCAGCCCCGTGTCTTGCAGGAACCAGCTGTTGCAGTGGCACGCGGCTGGCCCACCCCGGTTGCCGAGGGACCTGGGAGAGGTTCAGGCAGCTCCGGGACTGTTCCTGCCCTGAGGTCCACAGCCTCGTCTTCATCTAGCACCTGCCCGTGATCCCCTACCTGTCCAGATCCCCTTTCCAAAGGCTCCCTGGCTGGCAGGGAAACCCCGGGGGCTTGGGATCCCATAGGATGAGGGAGTGGGGAGAAGTATGCAAATGTGAGCCTGGAGGAACAAGCCTTGTCCTTATGCTGACACTGAAAATAGCTTTATGCTTCCCCTCAGGGCCAGCTGAGTCATAGCCTTCCTGACATCTCCTGCTAGTTCAGGGCCTCCCAAAGTTCATGTCCTAAACATACTCGTGTGGCTTTTACCCTAGTCTCCCTACCCGCAGACTCCCCCCGCCTTTTTTTTCTTTGTTTACTCTCCACCCCTACTTTTTTTTTTTAAGATTTTATTTTTAAGCAATCTCTACATCCAACATGGGGCTTGAACTCACAACCCGGAGATCAAGGGCCACATGTTCCTCTGACTGAGTCAGCCAGGCGCCCCCACCTCTACCTTTTTTTACTTACATAAATTTACTTTAAAAGGAAGCTTACACTTAAATACATGTGTTTATTTTATTTATTTATTTATTTTAAAGATTTTATTTATTTGACAGAGGGAGACACAACGGGAGAGGGAACACAAGCAGGGGGAGCGGGAGAAGGAGAAGCAGGCTTCCCGCAGAGCAGGGAGCCCGACGTGGGGCTCAATCCCAGGACCCTGAGGTCATGACCCGAGCCGAAGGCAGATGCTTAACGACTGAGCCATCGAGGCGCCCAAATACATGTGTTTAAAGAGGAAATGTTTTATCACAACTAGAAATAAAAATAAATAATAGTAGCCAACTTTTATTAAATAATTACCATGTGCCAAACACTGTCCCGACCCTTTATACACATTGACTCATTGGATCCTGACTTAGGTGCAATTATTATCCCCATTTTACATGTGAGGATATTGAGGC